ATATAGAAGAACTGGAATGAAATATTTTTTCTCTAGTGTTTACGTTGTATAATTTTTCTTATTTAACCTCCCTTTAGTTACTACAAGGTCAGCCGAGTGAAACTGTCCTCTGTACATGGTATAATATGGAAAAGGAGAAGATATCTTAAAAAATTTCTAAAAATAATATTGTTTGATTAAATAGGTAAAAGAGTTGAGGTAAGGCGGCTTACACTATAGTAAAAGTTTAGTTAAGTGCCTTTGGTAAAAGTTCGTAAAATGGATGGCCATCAATGCGAAATTTCAATGTTTTTTTTTTGTTAGTCTATTTACGCCACTGTCGGCATGACTTTGGATAAATATGCTTTCATTTAGCAACTTGAAATAAGTTTAAACAAAAATTAACAGCTATTTTATATAAGTAGGCACAAAATGAAGAAGATTTTCTATTAAAGGGGAAATTAAAGGGACATATAGATATATTAGCATGTGTATGCATATACATGAGATACTTAGAAGACTCAATATTTATGGGGGGCTTATTTTAGAAAAGAGACGAATTGAATAAAATTAAATGTATTGATTTTTGATGGGCAAAATTTGTTTACCAGAACTTTAAATACATGACACAATTGTACATAAATTAAAGAAAGCCTGTACCTAATGTATCATATACAATAGTACATACATAATTTTAATATAAGATATAATATTTACTTCTATATTTTCTTTTTCATTGGACGAAAAATGCGAAATACACCACCCCCCAAACAAGTAGCTACGCCAGGGGTCGCCAAATGGCGGACCGCGGTCCGCATCCGGACCGTCGACCCATTTTGTGCGGACCGCGAGAACACAGGAACTTAACACTACAGAATACGTAATATACGTAATTCTGCTACAATCGCAGAATTCTGCTAAATCTGGTCACACTGGCTGTGCGAGCCGCGCTGCGCCGCCCCGCCCTTCTCCGTCGTCGCGTCGGTGTGAGGGGGTGTGAGGGCGGGGGTAATCATGCGATCGCGCTGCACTCGGCCGCAAGGAGGTCAGTCAGTGTTTTGTTTTGACAAACGCCGCGACGACTCACGTCCTTGAAATATTACATTTGCTTGTTTACTTTACGACTGTAAGTAGGTACCTACCTGCGAGTTTTATTACTATGGAAACGAAAAAAAGAAAAGTTGAAGTTGAAAATAGACAGTTTTTGCGATTTATATTGTTTTACGCTGCCAGGGCTGGCCCCAGGGTAGGGCAATCCGGGCGGCCGCCCGGAGCGCAATGATCTAGGGGCGCCAAAATCATGGAAAATGAAAATAAACTGATAAAAAAATTAAGTTACAAGCGTTTATAAAATGCACTAAAAAGTAAAGAATATTTTTTTATCATTCTGATGTCATATCAATAAATTATTTTTCATAATATTGCATTGTCATCGGACCCTTGTAAGTATACCAAATTTCATTGAAATCGGTTCACGGAAATTTTCTCAAAAACGCGTTGCAAGATTTGACTGATAGTTGACAAGATTGAGAGGCGGCAGGCGAAATTTATCATTTTTATTTCTAAGCACATAATTCAAATAATATAATATATTTAAACATTAAGGCAAAATCTAGTGAATTCAATTCAACATGACAAAACCAGTCAACCACCGCCTTTCAAGAATTGACAAGTTTTTCGTACCGTGGCAACACGACTGTACAGGAAACAACAATTTTGAAACCAAGCGAAACAAGATCTAACAGCCCTTTTTAACTGCATATAAAAAGGAAGTAGACTTAAAACAATGCATTATTTGCCACTAGACTTCGGCTTCGGCTGGTGCGAAATAAAATAGTTTGTTTAAATTGATAGTGCAAAAAAGCTTTAAAAAAGTGCTTGTGCAAATTGTCCAGTGCGTTTGGCTTCTGTGAAGGTAAGTGTTTTCATTTTTGTTTTCATTTTTAAAAACTAATAAAATCCATCAGACATAAGCCAAAAAAAGGGTGGGGGGTAGTGAGTTGAATGAAATAAATTTTTTTTTAAAGTCAGTGACGCATAAGGGGGGGGATTTCGAAAATTAGAGTTTAAATCAAATCATGGCTTGTGTGGTATTGAATGAAAGGTAATTGAGTCTGGAGTTGAATAAAATACATTTTTTTTAAGCCAGTGGCGCACAAGGGGGGGATTTCAGGAATTTTGTATTTAAATCAAATCATGGCTTGTGTGGTATCCAATGAAAGGTAATTGTGTCTGGAGTTGAATGAAATACATTTTTTTTTAAGTCAGTGACGTATAAGGGGGGGATTTCGAAAATTAGAGTTTAAATCAAATCATGGCTTGTGTGGTATCGAATGAAAGGTAATCGAGTCTGGAGTTGAATAAAATACATTTTTTTAAGCCAGTGGCGCACAAGGGGGGATTTCAGAAATTATAATTTAAATCAAATCATGGCTTGTGTGGTATCCAATGAAAGGTAATTGTGTCTGGAGTTGAACAAAATAGATTTTATTTTTTTAAGCCAGTGGCGTACAAGGAGGGGTATAAATTAATTTTAATAAAAAAATGTCTTGTGTGGTATCAATATTTTTTTTGGCCAGTGGAGATACCTACAATGAAGGGGGGATTTGGTGTTAATCGTGTGAGCTTAGGTGGCCATAAATTAGCAGAGTATTTTTCATTTTGTTTGTTTTAGTTTGTCCTTCGTATTAAAAAAAATTGGGTAGTTATATATTATAAATATAAAAATAAAATATAGGGAGTAGGGACCCCTGAAATTATATAGCGTAGGGCCACATAAATTGTAAATCCGTCGCTGCATACTGTGACTAATGGTGTGACCATTCTTTTGAGGACTAACGAAATAGTTGTTTATAAAAATGTCAAAAAGCAAGCTGTTTTATACAAGCTGTTACGGTTTAATTTTGCGGTAGCGTAAATCATCACAATAGCGTTTAATCGCATTGTATCGCATTGTATCGCATTGTATCGCCTTCTTTGGTTACCTCGCTACCTTTGGTTCCTCGCGCTTGCCGCGGTCGAATTCCGGCCACCCGTATGCTTAGTCCGTTTTCAATTCGCGACAGTGGTACCACGGCCACTGAAAGGAATTTCTCCGTCGCGCGGTGTTCGTTCCCTCCCCCTACCAATTTCTGGTTTCCGTTCTGATTCTCGCTGTGACTGTCAAAGGCGAAATGGCTGCATGTTCTTTGATGGAAAATTTGTGCATTATTTGAAGCATCCGCAAGGGATACTTTTTCATCGAGGCTCTAAATAATTCTCTAGTGTAGTGTGGTTGTCTGGATACCGTATTTTCTCGTTTGATGGAGAATTAAACTATTTTGGGAAATAGACAGCACATTTCGACTTTACGAGCTGAAGGTACAGAAGTTGAGCCCGTTTTATTAATCGAAGCTATCAGTTTCCGTCAGTAGAAGGCCCTCGTCGAGAGTGGAGGTTCGACCTCCCTTCTGTGGAAAAAAACCCTTAGTAAAAAGGTAATTTTTCTTCTCATTATTTTCACCTAGTTATACAGAGCATGCAGTGTTCTCGTGATTTAGTTTTACCGTTATTACAACCGTATTTCTATACAGGTTTTTTTTTTCTGCTTCCTCCTTCATCACCTCCGTCCTTTGGTATGTTTATTTTCTGCCTCCCCACGTCGACTGTGACGAGTTTGATTGTTGTTGGCGGAACCCCTGCTTGGTGAACTATCACCCATACGCCCCATGTGGTTTGGTGGACCTTGGCGCGGACGTCCTTCGATTTAGACAGCTAGAACTTCACCCCTCGATCCCGAGACAGGGCGACCCTGTACCAGTAACACCCCAGCAGTCATACCGAGTGAAAAAACTGATAAGTATAGCGAGTAGTTAAGGTTTTGTTGGCAACGTCTTGTTAATGTACTGTTTGTTCCTTTATATACCTAATTTGTCATTATTTACATATACGGAGTGTCTACCTTGCGAGACCCTCTCGTTAGTTATTGTTTGTGCCATTAGATACATTATTTGTCATTATTTACATTTACAGAGTGTCTACCTTGCGAGACCCTCTTGTTAATTACTGTTTGCGACATTATATACACCATTTGTCATTATTTACATATACAGAGTGTCTACCTTGCGAGACTCTCTTGTTAATTACTGTTTGTGACATTATATACACCATTTGTCATTATTTACATATACAGAGTGTCTACCTTGCGAGACTCTCTTGTTAATTACTGTTTGTGACATTATATACACCATTTGTCATTATTTACATATACAGAGTGTCTACCTTGCGAGACTCTCTTGTTAATTACTGTTTGTGACATTATATACACCATTTGTCATTATTTACATATACAGAGTGTCTACCTTGCGAGACTCTCTTGTTAATTACTGTTTGTGACATTATATACATCATTTGTCATTATTCACACCTACAGAGTGTCTACCTTACGAGGCCATTCCGCTAATTAACCGTAGTATATTCTATTTATTATTCACTAATAAATTGTTTGTTGGGGAATTGCCTGGTTTTATTTCTCGAACAAGGAATATTCTTGAATAACTGTCTCAGCTCAAGCTTTGGTTTTTTATGTTTATTTAGAGTCATCTTCTCGTCTGGGCAATTGGCTGGCCACCGCCAGGTAAAACGACCCTGAGGAGATCTAGTGAGAGAGAGCTAGTCTATACTAGGTCCTCCGGGCAGGCCTAGGATTTGACTTACCTTTTTTTTTTTTGCTACACTCTTTTGCCCAGTGTAGAACCTCCCGCTAGAGGGAGTCGTAGCAAAGCGGTTTTCAAAGCACAGCGCAGCAAGTGCTTAGAAGTAGCGAGTATAAAAAAGCGTAGTTTTGGCACGAGTTTTATACAATATTTTGTCTTGATCAAAAATTTTAAAAAAATTAAAAAAGTGCCGCAGGCGTAATTTCTAACAAAAATATATTTTACACAAAACTACCAAACAAGAGACAAAATACCAATTATTATTATTGTTTTTTTTTTTATATCAGTATTATCTTTTATTTTAATTAATTTGTTCCAGAAACCAAAATGTCCGATGCTAAGAGAAAACCCTCGGGGAGCGAATTTAAAAACCGGAGATTGAACAAGCAAACACAGCTTCAAAAACAGTCAGATGCGCTGCAGAACTTCTTGAAAGAAGGTAGTTTCAACGCTCCCACAACCGACCAACATTTGAACAACGCCCAGCACCTAGATACTGACTTTCCGGATATGGATCCCCCTTTGGACGCAACCGTCAGCATTACTGAGCTGGGTAAGTCATCTCAAACGAGTTTGGCGAGTAGTGATGCAGTTCCGTGCAGTTCCAAAAATCAAAATTCGCAAGTTGTGCAGACCTCAAAGAAACATTTAGAAAAGGCTACCGTCCAAAGTATCTCTTCTGACCCAGGATTATGGCCCGAAATCATGCGTGCAGCAGATAGAGTTTTTTTGGTTAAACGTGGTCTAGCTGCACCTTTATATAATTTTGATTTTCCTTTTGATGATCAGCATAGAAGATTCTCACCAAAACATTACAAGAAAAGGCTTAGAAATGGAGAAGAGGTTTTAAGAGAATGGATGTTATATTCCGTATTTCAAAACGCTTTGTACTGTTTTCCATGTCGACTTTTTGCTGCACCATCTAGCTTGAGCGCTCTTGGCAATCGGGAATTTAAAGACTGGAAGCATTTAGGGGACTCTTTAGCACATCATGAAAATGCTAAAACTCATATAGATTGTTTGAAATCATGGCTTGATTTGAAGCAAAGATTGAAAATAGGTGAAACAATAGATGCAGTTTCTCAGATACTCATTGATTCTGAGATAAATCACTGGTCTGAAGTTCTTTTACGCATTATATCAGTCGTTAAAATGCTAGGTGAGAGCTCTCTAGCTTTTCAAGGAACAAGCGATAAACTGTATGAACACAATAATGGAAACTTTTTGAAGTTAATTCAGTTACTGGCTGAGTTTGATCCAAAAATGGAGGAACACGTTCGCAGAGTCATCAATAAAGAAGAAATTAAAGCTACATATCTAGGGAAACCTATACAAAATGAAATAATTGAATTATTGCATGACAACATAAAGCACCACATCATTGAGCATGTTCAAAAGGCCAAGGCAAGTAAAGTAGAACAGATGACATTTGTGGTAAGATTTGTCTCCATACAGGAATCAGAGTCTGAAGTTCAAGTTAATATCAACGAACATTTTTTAGGTTTTCTACCCATTGAGAGATCAACAGCTAAGGAATTGTCGGAGGTTTTACTAGAAGAGATAGAGAAAAATAGGCTTAAAGTAGAAAACACGCGCAGTCAAGGGTATGACAATGGTTCCAATATGACAGGAGAAAAATCGGGAGTACAAACAAGAATCAGAAATATAAACCCCAGAGCATTTTATGTTCCATGCAGCAGCCATTCGCTAAATTTGGTTGTAAACGATATGGCAAAATCCTCGTTTGAGGCAGCCAACTTCTTCAATATTGTTTTTTTCTTCCTCTTCTTTTCGTTGGGCAATATTACTGAAATATATTGATACACCCTAAAACCATTGAGTGATACGCGATGGGAAAGTCGAGTCGACTCATTAAAAGCTCTGCGGTTTCAAATTGGTCCAATTCACGATGCTTTGTACAGCATATATGAAGATTCAGAAATCGATAATATGATCAGAGACGAGGCTAGCGGATTATTAAATAATTTGAAGCAGTTCAAATTTATATGCTCTGTTGTGATCTGGTACAAAATTTTGAGTCATATTAACTCCATCAGCAAACTTTTGCAAACTGTAAATTTTAGTATGTCACAAGCTATTGATATGCTTAGCAACTGCAAACTCTTCTTTGAAAACCTGAGATCAGATGAAGCTTTTGAAAGCATCATTTTAGAAGCAACCGAGCTTGCTTCAGAGATTGACGTGGAAGCTAATTTCGAAACCACCACACCACGTCATCGTGTCAGAAGCAAAACCAGAACGTTTTTGTATGAGGGCCCGGATGAACCCGTTCAAGACCTCAAACAAAAATATAAAATAGATTTTTTTTCACACTATAGATAAAGCAATAAATGCCTTGGAAACCAGATATAATTTGCTAAATACTCACAGTAATTATTTCAGCTTTTTGTATAATATTTTTGGTCTAAAAGACATGCCCAGAAATGAGCTACTGGCTCATTGCAAAGATTTGGAAGTAGTTTTAACTGATGGAAATTCAAGCGATCTTAACGCCCTGGAACTAGCCGATGAAATAAGCACTGTTTCGTCATTATTAACAAAAAAGGAAACCCCTGTTGAAGTTCTCAAGTTTATCGCTACACTTAAATTCGCACCAAACCTCAGCATAGCATTAAGAATCCTACTTACATTGCCAGTCACTGTGGCTTCAGGGGAAAGAAGCTTTTCAAAACTAAAAGTAATAAAAAATTATCTCAGAACGATGCAGACGCAAAATCGTCTCAATGGATTGGCAATGATAGCTATAGAACACCAAATTAGTGACAAATTAGACTTGAAATCACTGGTTCGTGAGTTTGCCGAAAGAAAAGTTAGAAAAAGGGCATTTTAATTACTTTGGTTAGTTAGAATTTATTTATAATATGGGATATTAGTTTAGTTAGCATTACTACATGTTAATTTTTGTTATTTTGCCTTAAGTGCTAAATTGCTTATCTTGTTATCTGATGATTGAGTTTTTAATAAAACGTTTTTTTTTCAATGTTTTCTTGACTTCCTGATGGTCGCATGAGATTTACTTAAAAAAAAAACGGGGGGGGGGGGCACAAAATTAAGGTTTTGCCCGGAGCGCCAAAATGTCTAGAGCCGGCCCTGACGCTGCCAAATCGTGCTGGAGCAGTACCAATGTGCTTGATTTGTAATCAAACTGTGGCGTTAATTAAAAGCTCGAATATAAAACGACATTATGACACCAAACACAAATTATTTGCCGAAAACTTTCCGCTTGGTAGTGATCTGCGTAAGTCTAAAATTGCAAGTTTACTCTCAAGTTACTCATCTTCGACCCAGATCATGAGTCGTTCATGGACTGAGCAGGAAAAATGTGGTGAGGCTTCTTTACGTGTTTCTTGGACTCTTGCTAAGCATATGAAACCATTTACTGATGCTGACGTAGTTAAAGAATGCTTTCTCGAGGCGGGTAATGCTTTATTTGAAAATAAAAAGGATATTGTTGAGATGATACGACAGATTCCGTTATCTGCTTCCACCAGCACCAGAAATACACACGTTTTGGCAGAAGAAAATCATTGCCATGTGAAGCGGCAGTTAAATAATGCAAACTATTACGCCTTGGCTATGGATGAATCATGCGATGTCACTGATACGGCACAGTTAATTATTTTTGTACGCTACCTGGACAAAACGAGAGAAACTTTTGTTGAGGAGGTATTGGCTCTTTTGCCGCTATTAAGACGAACCCGAGGAGAAGACATGATGAAAGCAGTGATGGATTACTTTGATAAAGATGAGTTAGACTTTTAGAAAAAGCTTTTATCGGTAACTACTGACGGTGCGCCAGCAATGGTTGGGAGTAAAAAAGGACTAGTTCACCTGTTGAGTAGCAATGCAAGATGTAATGAAAATTTGATTTCCTACCACTGTATAATTCACCAAACTGTGATTTGCTGCAAACTCAACAATAATTTTGAGCGTATTATGCAAGAAGTGATGAAAATAGTAAATTTTCTTCGTGCGAAATCATCACTGCGACATCGTGAATTGAAATCATTTCTTAAAGAAGTTGACGCACAATATGACGATCTACTGTTGCATAATGACGTGAGATGGTTAAGTAAAGGCTGCGTTTTAGAAAGATTCTTCAGCATTATAGAACACCTGAAGACATATCTTTTCAACAGTGATCAGACTTCAAACAAAAAGACTGAGCTGTCCCCCCAGATAGCTGTTATTCGGTTCACAGAACATACTAATTTTCTAATATACGCAATTATGATTTTGTTGGTACAAAGAGCCAAGTACGGCAGCTAATAATTATCACCTAATAATAATAAGGTACTTAAATAAATTGTTTATATATTTGTTCTCTGATAAATATTTGTGAAAAATAAATTGATAAAAGATTGTAGATCTTGCAGTAGAGAAAATCAAAAGTTTTCAAGGTGAAATGGTCGACGAGAACAGCTCTCCACTACTTCTTTGGGGTTTGCACCTATCACCAAATGTTGCGTTGAGGTAATTTCTAACTTCACGACTGAAGTGGGGCGGTGCCTCATCATGCATGAAATACATCTGTCTTGTTTGCAATGGCACATTTTCTAGTAGTAGATTTAGATCGTGTTGTAAAAATTCAAATATCGGGCACCGTTTAATCTATCCGGTAAGAAAAAGGGGCCTATTAATTGGTTACCGATTATTCCTGCCCATACATTAACTATCAATCTTTGCTGGTGTTTGCCTTGAATGACTAAATGAGGGTGAACCACACTTATGGGTACCTAGGTCACCAGATCTTAACCCCCTTGACTTCTTCTTGTGGGGTTACCTAAAAGAATAGGTATTCAACTCCGGTTTATACAAGAGAAGAGTTGATGGCAAGAATAGTACATTATTGTAATGAAATTAATCAGAATCCACAAATGCTATTTAGAATAATCTTAAAAGAATAAGGAAGTGCATTGAACTAGATGGAGGACATATCGAGCACTCGTTTGACCTGCTCTATATAATCCCTTATTTTTTCCCCGTTGTTACCGGACACCCTGTATAATAAAAAGTAAAGTAGAAGACAATTATATATAATTCGAAGTTAAAGAAGTATTTGACGGTGTTACAGTAAAGATCTATAAAGAAATAAGAAGAGAAATAGTGAGGCACAATAGAGAAGAAATGATTAATATAAAGAGTTAATTTTTGAGGTTTTAAGACGGATGAAGAGGCGTAATAGGCAAAATTCAACATCGATGGTTTTCCTGATAATGAAATACTACACATTCTAATGACACTCCTGTACCAATTTTACCTCCACCAATGCCTCAAGATGTTATAGAAATTGGTTAGTGGTTAATTTACTATTATTGTTGCTAATAAATATTATAATACTAATAAATAATATAGAATAAATTAAATAACCATCAAATTAATTTGTTTTTATAAATCGTTCCTTGTATTTTAATCTTTTCTTTTCAGTTGTAGGGGTGATGAGATAGTGAATTATCTCCATCTTTATTAGATGACCTTCAAAATGAATTTGCTGATTTACCATTTAACAATCGGAGAGAAACAGCAGATCAAATGAATTCTATATATATATATAGAACGTCTACGGAATATCGAAAATCACTTATCGACATAACTTCTGGCTAGGGAAAGAATTGTACAATTTAGGGCCACTCGATCAAATTTGTATTCATTGTTCTGCTTTTTATTTTCGTGTAGAGCCTGCAAGTCGAGGACACTATACAAAATGTTGTCAACAAGGTAATGTAGTTTTAGAAAATTTTCCACCTATGCCTGATGTTTTAGCTGCTCCCTTTCAAGACTTACATCCTTCTTCTCTCCACTTCAGAAGATATCTATTATTATATAATTATAGTTTTGTATCTTCAGAGGCAAACCTAAGAGATATCTCTGCAAGAGGTCCATATGTATTTTGTGTCAGAGGAAAAGTGTATCATCACATTTCCAATGTAATTGTTAATTAGCCGTTGGAGCGCTACGGACCTATTTATTTTCTAGATACAGACGAAGCTGTCGATGCCCGAGCATAAAACAATAATCAAGTCTTAGACAGACGATTGATTGTTCTTTTGGAACAATTACTAAGAGATATAAATCCTTACACCAGGGCATATATGCATCTACGTGAACGTTACAATTTAGAACGGCAAACTATTGACAGACTTCGAGCAGGAGCCGTTTGTAGTAACATAGAACCACTCTTTACAGATGCCAAATGTAACATTAGAATTATTAAATGTTCGTGGAAGAAGTTGCAGCTCTGTACAATTTAATTCCAGACGCCCCAGCAACTCCTAATATGCGTATTTATGTACGCGACGAACCTACTAGATTCCAAAATGTCTCAGAGGAAAGTGAGCATAATGATCCGTTAGTATTTCCTCTACTGTTCCCTCAAGGAGTGCCGGGATGGTAGGTACATAGAAATGTCCCACAGAAACGGTAATCGCAATATACGAATTATTATACGCATTATGCGAATCATCGTTTTGGAATTAGAAATAACGATTCCAGACTTAAATAACTTAAATATGGAGGCAGACTAACATAACAATTTGCTTTCTCTGCGTATTTCTAAATCGAAAATAATCTTATCAAATATATATTACGCAACCAAGAGAGGTTATGAGTGACAGAATACGTTGCGTTGGCCGATTACCTACATTGTAGGGTCCATGAAGGCAATGAGGATGACGAGGCCACAACATTGGGTAGAATGGTTATTTTATCATCAACTTTAGTCGGATCTCCGCGCTACTAACAGCCTTTTCATTGCGATGACAACCAATGCACGATGGACATAAATAGTGGACAATATTAAC